GTAGTGCAATCTCTTTATTGTGAAAGTGCAACTTACAAATGTAGATTTATTTTGTTACATAACTGCATTCAAAAGAAAAAAACAATGTAAAACTTAGAGCCTACACACATCCTCTCAGTCTTACTTCTTGTTCAGCCAATCGCTCAGACAAACAAGTTTGTTTACATTTATGGGAGATAATACTGGCTTGTTCTTATTTGCAGTGTCACCCAAAAGTGAGAAGAGGCATTCGCGTGGCGCTTTTGCAGGTAGCATTGCAAAGTATTTACATACCAGATATGCTAAATATTCCCATTCCCCTTCATGCTTCGGCCACCATTCCAGATGACATGCTTCCATGCTGATGATGCTCGTTAAAAAAGTAATGTGTTAATCTAATTTGTGACTGAAATCCTTGGAGGAAAATTGCGTATCTCCTGCTATGTATTTTACCTGCATTCTGCCATATCTTTCATGTTACAGTAGTCTCGGGTGGTGACTCAGCACATGTTGTTCGTTTTAAGAACACTTTAACGGCAAATTTCACAAAACTCAAAGAAGGTACCAATGTGACATTTCTAAAGCTAGCTACAGCATTAGACCCAAGGTTTAAGAATCTGAAGTTCCTTCTAAAACCTGAGAGAGATGAGGTGTAGAGCATGCTTTCGGAAGTCTTAAAAGAGCAACACTCCAATGTGGAAACTGCAGAACGTGAACCACCAAAAAAGAAAATCAACCTTCTGCTGGTGGCATCTGACTCAGAGAATGAAAATGAACTTTTGTCAGTCTCCACTGCTTTGGATCGTTATCGAGCAGAACCCATCATCAGCATGGACGCATGTTCTCTGGAATGGTGGTCGAATCATGAAGGGACATATGAATATTTAGCGCATCGGGCACATAAATGTTTTGCTACACCAGCTACAACAGTGCCCTGTGAAAGCCTGTTCTCACTTTCAGGTAACATTGTAAACAAGAAGCAAGCAGCATTCTCTCCTGCAAAGGTAAACAAACTTGTCTGAGCGATTGGCTGAACTAGATGTAGGACTGAGTGGACTTGTACGATCAAAAATTTTACATTGTTTTATTTCTGATTGCAGTTATTTTTTGTAAATCATTCTACATTTGTAATTTCAACTTTCCTAATAAAGACTTGGCACTACAGTACTTGTATGACGTGAATTGAAAATACTATTTCTTTTGTTTCTTTTTTACAGTGAAAACATTTGTAATCAAAAATAAATATAAGGTGAGCACAGTACACTTTGCATTCTGTGTTGTAATTGAAATCTATTTGAAAATACAGAAAAAATCCCCCCAAATTGAAATAAATGGTATTCTACTATTGTGTAAAGGTGCGATTAATTGTGTGATTAATCATGTTTAATTATTTGTCTCATAATTAATCACAATTATTTTTTTAATAACTTGACAGCCCTACTCCCCACCACTACCATGCAGCCATCTCTGGAGTGGAACAGGGTACATGAGAGACAAGGCACAGAAACTCATGGGCTGTGTAGGAGAGGAAGTGAGGAAGAACCCTGACTCCAGTCACAGCAGTGGGGCATATTCCAGGTTCAGGGGTAATTAGCTGAGATGGAAATCACCCGGAGTGACGGGGATAGGAACTCCACACTTCATAAAGGGATCCCTGAGAGGCTGCAGGATCCATTCAACTCCAAATCCCACAAATGGGATCTACGGTTACCCAGCACCCCATTGTGCTGTAGCGGACCAGGGGGATCAGAGCGATCAGCAACGGGAAGGGTCATAGAATCATAAAATATTAGGGTTGGAAGAGACCTCAGGAGGTCATCTAGTCCGATGCCCTGCTCAATGCATTATCAATCCCAACTAAATCAACCCAGCCAAGGGTTTATCAAGCTGGGCGTTAAAAACCTCTAAGGGTGGAGATTCCATCACCTCCATAGTTAACCCACTCCACTCATTCACCACAGAGGCACCACAGCGGGTGCTTAACCACAGATGGTTTCTCACAGAGACACACGTACTGCTCCCTGCAGCGCAGGCCCTACGTGGTGTGCTGGGGCACTGGCCCAGCATTGACTTCTAGGGGAGAGCGCCCCCTGCTGAGCCCCCATCCCGCTCCCTGCAGCACAGGCATGTGGAACTGTGTGGGGGAAATGGGGTCAGCGCTGACACTACGGGAAGAGTGACACTTACTGTGACAGTGAACCTGCTCAATGCAGTACAGGCCCTTAGCACCATGCTGGGGCACTGGGGTCAACGCTGACTCAGACAGGAGAGCTGGGTCTGTGCTGAAAGCTTCCCATCCCGATCCCTGCACCACCCTCAGTGACGTGATGGATGCAACTTACCTGAGCACACAACACCAGCATCTTCTCTGTGGTTACAGTTATTCTCTCCCCAAGGCCGAGCCCTGCAATTGGAGAGGGCAGTTTCTGTCCCTGTGCAGTTGACGTCATCCAGCCAGATACGGTCAGATCCCTGCCCAAAGTGAGCCCCAGTGGGGGCTGATAATGCTGTCCCACAGCCCAGCTGCCTGCATACGACTCCAGCATCAGTTATGTCCCAGCTGTCATCACACACGGTTCCCCACTGCTGGTTGTGAAGCACCTCGACTCTCCCAGCGCAGCGACTGGAGCTGTTCACCAGACGGAGCTGAGCCACTTCTGAGATGCCAGAGTCTGCAAACACCCCAAGGGAAGAAACACTCAGGGAGTTTCCTGTGCATCTGATCACTAGTGTCACTGGTGAACTTAGGGCCTCCCACTGATGGGCTTGAACAGCTTCTGCAACAGCCTGTTAGGGGTTCACTCCCTGTCAACTAATCGCAGTTAACTCACGCATTTAAGGTTGTTTTATCCAGCATGTTGGAGGACTGGGGGGTGGTGGTAAATGAATAATACTGGTTAACTAAGAGGGAGGGAGGCAATGTTGAAGTTTGTCCACCCCCCTCCTGGCCAGCTGTCACCTAATTAGGCAGACTGGACGGCACTCTGACCCACTGCTCCCACTAGAGCACTTAAAAAGATCACCCCCCGCACTGCTGGCAGGAACCTCCTGGGGAGCAGATTTACACCCTCACTCCTGGCGCTGGTATTCGCTCCAGTGTGATACTGTGCAGTGCTGCGGGGCAGATACTGGCATAAGCATCTTGGTGATTGGGAGCTGAACACAATCACCCCTGTCATTAGTGGTTGCCTTAGCCTGACATCAGTATTGAATTTACATGCGTTGGCTCCATAACTCCCTGAAAACGTCACCCAGAGTCCATCCCCCTTAGAACTGCCTGGAGCGCAGGGACGCCTGGCAGGAACGTACTGCGCACCAGGCTGACAATGGTTCCGACCAGGGCAGAGGCAATGCACACTTCCTACAAGCAGATCGGCCCCCTCCTGAAGCAAACACCTGCCCCTGCGGTTCCTGCTGACTTGTCATGACTGACTTGGCAACATCGTTTTGTGGCAGCCATTGCTGCACTCGTGTCTAGTGCTCCCAGCCCAAACTCAGTCTCAGATGAATGATGGCAGAGCTGGGCTGACAGCTGTGTCCTCACACAGGGGCAGCAACTCTGGGATAGAGAGACTGGCGTGCTGATGGATTTTCAGAACCCCTAACATGTATCTGCCCATTGACAACCTGGGATGCATATCCTAGACTAGGCTTAATGGGCCCCCGACTGGACTGGCCAGAGGAATTGCTGCAATGCAGAAACATGGCTTAGCCTGATCTTCTCAGTGTGCCTGTGGGGCAGCAATACAGACAATCAAATGTGGTGACGGAGATCTCCGTTGGAAGACTGGACCTTGAGGATGCAGTCAGATGGCTGAACAAGCTAGAGGTAAGCAAGGTCAGAATGAGCTCTCCCCTGACAGCTAGTGATGGGCTGCGGAGGGTGAAAGGCTTCAGGACCAGACTGTGTTTACAAGAACACATCCACTCTGCCTAGGTATCCAGCAGACAGAGCTGTGTTGGCTGGTGCTGGGTTACAAATCACTGTAGTACTTGAATGCAGGGGTAGTGAAATGTTGTTGCCCTGATTGTCTGAGTAAAGGGCAGCAGAACTGTGCTTAGCCTCCCCTGACTGAGGGGGTCACCCACAACTGAACTGAACTAACTGATGAGGGGGCTCAGACACCAGACCCCTATCAAGAGTGAGAGGGGTGGAGATGGGTGTTCCTGCTGAGGGGTGTGGGCTCTGTGTAAGAGGTTTAGGCATGGTTTAATCTGCCCCTCAACACTCTTCAAAGAGAGAGTTAATTAAGGACAACTAACTAAGTCTCCAGATCACAGGCCCTGGTTGTAATGGGGAACTTCAATCACCCTGCCATCTGCTGGGAGAGCAATACAGCAATGCACAGACAATCCAGGAAGTTTTCGGAGAGTGTTGAGGACAACTTCCTGGTACAAGTGCTGGAGGAACCAACAGGGGCCATGCTCCTCTTGATGTGCTACTTATAAAGAGGGAAGAATTAGTAGGGGAATTAAAAGTGGGTGGCAACCTAGGCAGCACGGACCATGAGATGGTTGAGTTCAGGATCTGGAAAAAAGGAAGAAAGGAGAGTAGCAAAATACGGACCCTGGACTTCAGAAAAGCAGACTTAGACTCCCTTAGTGAACTGATCCCCTGGAAGGCTAATATGAGAGGGAAAGGAGTCCAGGAGAGCTGACTGTATTTTAAAGCAGCCTTATTGAGGGCACAGGAACAAACCATCCCAAAATGCAGAAAAAATAGCAAATATGGCAGGTGACCAGCTTGTCTTAACAGTGAAATCTTCGGTGAGCTTAACCTCAAAAAGGAAGCTTACAAAAAGTGGAAATTTGGACAGTTGACTAGGGAGGAGTATAAAAATATTGCTAGAGCATGCAGGGGTGTAATCAGGAAGGCCAAGGCAGAATTGGAGTTGCAACTAGAAAGGGATGTGAAGGGTAACAAGGGTTTCTACAGTTATGTTAGCAACAAGAAGAATGTCGGGGAAAGTGTGGGACCCTTACTGAATGGGGGAGGCAACCTAGTGACAGATGATGTGGAAAAAGCTGAAGTACTCAATGCTTTTTTTTGCCTCGGGAAGTCATGCCTGACCAACCTGATTGCCTTCTATGATCAGATAACTGGCTCTGTGGATATGGGGAAAGCGGTGGATGTGATATATCTTGACTTTAGCAAAGCTTTTGATACCGTCTCCCACAGTATTCTTGCCAGCAAGTTAAAAAAGTATGGATTGGATGAAAGGACTATAAGTTGGATAGAAATCAGTCCATATTGTCGGGATCAATGGCTCGATGTCTAGTTGGCAGCTGGTGTCAAGCGGAGTGCCCCAGGGGTCGGTCCTGGGGCCAGTTTTGTTCAACATCTTTATTAATGATCTGGATGATGGGATTAATTGCTCCCTCAGGAAGTTCGCAGATGACACTAAACTGGGAGGAGAGGTTGATATGCTGGAGGGTAGGGATAGGATACAGAGGAACCTAGACAAATTAGAGGATTGGGTCAAAAGAAATCTGATGAGGTTCAACAAGGACAAGTGTAGAGTCCTGCACTTAGGAAGGAAGAATCCCATGCACCGCTACAGGCTGGGGGCCAACTGGCTAAGCAGCAGTTCTGCACAAAAAGACCTGGGAATTACAGTGGACGAGAAGCTGGATATGAGTCAGAAATGTGCCCTTGTTGCCGAGAAGGCCAATGGCATATTTTGCTGTATTAGTAGGAGCCATGCCAGCAGATGGAGGGAAGTGATTATTCCCCTCTATTCGGCACTGGTGAATCCACACCTGGAGTACTGTGTCCAGTTTTGGTCCCCCCACTACAGAAGGGATGTGGACAAATTGGAGAGAGTCCAGCGGAGGGCAACGAAAATGATTAGGGGGCTGGGGCACATGACTTACAAGGAGCGGCTGAGGGAACTGGAGTTATTTAGTTTGCAGAAGAGAAGAGTGAGGGGGGATTTGATAGCAGCCTTAAACTACCCGAAGGAGGGTTCCAAAGAGGATGGAGCTAGGCTGTTCTCAGTAGTGGCAGATGACAGAACAAGAAGCAATGGTTTCAAGTTGCAGTGGGGGAGGTCTAGGTTGGATATTAGGAAACACTATTTCACTAGGAGGGTGGTGAAGCACTGGAATGGGTTACCTAGGGAGGTGGTGGAAACTCCATCCTTAGAGGTTTTTAACCCCCGGCTTGACAAAGCCCTGGCTGGGATGATTTAGTTGGTGTTGGTCCTGCTTTGAGCAGGGGGTTGGACTAGATGACCTCCTGAGGTCCCTTCCAACCCTGATATTCTTTGATTCTATGAGTCCTGGAATGACACTTGGAGCAGGGAAGCTGGGCACAGACCCCAACTGGAGAACAGAGGACTGGGACTGAGACTAAGTGTGGGATTCTGGGTCTGGAAGAAAGCTTGGGGCTCTCACTTGGGAACGACTGAGGAAGTCAGAGAGACACACAGATCCTGAACACATTCCCTACAGCTCAGCGGGGCCAGAATGGGCTCTGCTTGAACCTCAGCTCTCTGTGTTGAGCTAAGGACTTCCTAGGCTGGATGCCACTCGGTAGCCCTGTAAATCTATTCTGGGTGCATGAATCCCTGCAGTGCGCACAAGGATCTCCCAGGAGTCTGGCTTAGCGGCACTCGCTGGGCAGAGCTTGCAGGGTGAAGCAGGAGGGAGGGAGCCCAGAGGCTCAGGCTATGTCTTCACCGCTGCAGATCCTGCCAACTCGGGACTTCCAACACAATTTCTGGGTAACTGCACCTTTGACCGCCCTTCCATGGTCTGCTCCAGAAAAACCCCTCCGGTCTCAGGGCTCTCTCTGGGCAGGATCCCACGTCCCACTCCCTCCAGAGCAGGGGTTTAGGCTGTACCTGCTTGCCACTCGCCCAGCAACGGCAGTGGTGCCTGGAGAGCAGCCAGCAGAATACAGATGTCTGAGAAACGCCTCCCAGAGAACAGACAGTTCTCCCCGGACCCTGCTCGGAGCAGAACTTCCCGCCACCTGCCCGGGGCTCTGGCAGGGATCCAGCAGTGCAGCTCCCCCCTTGGCCCAAAGGTCAGGTCCGTCTGATGGCCCCTCGCTCGGGCTGAACTCAGCCTTTCACAGCAGACGCCTTTTCTTTGTCTCTAGGCCTCTGGTCCCTGGCTGAGCCAGCCTATGCCAGCCACCCTGGGCGGGGGACGTCTCTAGAGCGGTTTCCAGTTGCCGGCAGGGACAGCAGTGACCCCTCTCCCCCACTGCTTCCAGCTCCTCCGGGAGCGGCGGGGTCCCTCCCACATGGAGTCGCCCACAGTGACCTAGAGCATGTTCATACTGCTAACTCTGACAAGGGGATTGGACTAGATGACCTCCTGAGGTCTCTTCCAACCCTAATATTCTATGATTCTAAGGCTCCATTGCGGGTCTTTTCAGTTTAAGTGATCACTAGAGCTGAAATCACCTGCTGTGAGACAGTATTTCTGCCCAGCCTGCTTCAGCACTGAGGTCTCCCAACTAAGAACTGACAGTCACTAAGGGCTGGTTTGAGCTTCAAGAGAGCGACCTGCAGAGGTCACAGTAGAGAGATGGGGCAGCAGAAGGTGAGGGCGAGCAGAGTGGTGAGTGGCTGGCAGGGTAGCTGCCACCAGAGCAAGTAATCAGACAACAGAGCGAGCCAAGCACTCTCATCCACGCCCTCATGGTGGTAGCTGAACTCACACTGGGTCTTCACTAACCAAGGACAACCACTGTGAGTGGGGTGCGGTGGAGGGAGAAGGGAGGGGCAACTTAAAGGAACTTTTGGTTGCTGGACTCAAGAACCTGAGGCAAAAGACACTGACCAAAATACTCTGGGGGAGGTGTTTTTCTCATGGTTTTATGTTTATAAATCCTGTTTGTGGCATTTTCCCAAGTTAATGCCGGGGGCCTTCCCTCCTTTTATCAAGTTTCTTTCCTGCACTGAGACCCTGTCCTTCCAAGAGGGGAAACTTTGCCTCATAGAGCACCCAAGGGATGGTGTGTAATTGTCCCAGGTTACTGGGTGGGGGCTCAAGCCAGATTGGTGTTATATTGCTGAAAAGGAACCTGGCCCTGGTCACTTCTGACGCTACTGGCAGAAGGTTTACATAGGTATCGACTTGTGCAATACACAAAAGAAGAAGATTCCCCAGCTGACATGCAGCCACTTCTAGGGTAGGACAGGGCAGCTAAAAAACAGGACAGGGAAATACTTAGGCTGTGTACGACAGAAAGTGAGGAAGGATTGCATCTCCTGTGTCCAGCTCTTGGGAAAGTTACAACTTCAGGACTAATTCCCTGAAATGCAAATCTGCTGGAACACAGTGATTAGGAACTGGACTTTTGAGAAATTGGCCCTGGATTTTTAGTTTGAGTGAGCAGCTGCAAGCTCTGTTGACACCAAATCCAACCAGTGGGAGCTGCACTTACCCAGGTCCCCAGTGTGCTGCAGAGGAGTCTGGCCCACAGATAAGTAGATGCCAACTGGCAGAGGGCACAGGGATGCCTAGAGTTATACAGGGATCCCCAGGGTGAGATATATGCACAATAGCTCACCAAAGGTGGCATGTGAGGTCTCTACCAAAAGCCAGCAGCCCGCTCGTCGACCTAATGGGAGCAAGATGTTTGTATGGGACATAGTTGAAGAGAGATGTAAAATGTAGCATATGACACTGTGACCTTGCACTTTATATGATTTTATGAAAATATGCTAATGTAACTGGAATATGCTTTATGCAAAAGGTCTCTTGTAAGGTATCATTAGAAAGCTTATAATCTACTAAGTGTGATCATCCTATTTGTATTATTTTACCACTCTTGTATCTGAAACTAGAAATATGAAATATAACTCTAAGGGCCTTTTGTAATTATGCAAAGTGTGGGCCATTAATGGTGTTTGGAATCTTGATGACTCCCATTAACCAGGACAATTGATTGCAGATGGCTCTGTTTTACCTGTAAGTCTTCCTGTATATGTGTGTGCTGGCAAGTGGGTAATGATGTCTTACAGTGACATGTGATCATGTCACCTGAACTGGAAACCATCTTTAACCTAGTGCTTTTCCATTGAGAAGGAGGGGTGGGAACCCAGAGGGACAAAGGATTCCCGCCTTATGCAAAAGATATATAAATGGGTGAAACAGAACAAAGTGGAGCCATCATGAGAAATCCCCTAGCTACCACCTGAGCTGGAACAAGGGCTGTACCAGGGGAAAGGATTGTGCCCAGACTAGGAAGGCATTCAGTTTGTGAAAGAAACGTATTGAAACATCTTTCAGAGTGAGATATTATCTGTACTCAGTTGTATTACTGTATTAGACTTAGATATGCATGTTTTATTTTATTTTGCTTGGTAATTCACTTTGTTCTGTCTGTTACTACTTGGGACCACTTAAATCCTACTTTCTGTATTTAATAAAATCGCTTTTTACTTATTAATTAACCCAGAGTACGTGTTAATACCTGGGGGGGGGCAAACAGCTGTGCATCTCTCTCTATCAGTGTTATAGAGGGTGAACAATTTATGAGTTTATGTAAAGCTTATACAGGGTAAAATGGATTTATTTGGGTTTAGACCCCATTGGGAGTTGGGCATCTGAGCATTATAGATAAGAACACTTCTGTAACCTGCTTTCAGTTAAATCTGCAGCTTTAGGACAAGTAATTCAGACCCTGTGTCTGGGTTGGAGCAGACGGGCATCTCTGGCTCAGCAAGACAGAGTGCTGGGGTCCCAAGCTGGCAGGGAAAGCAGGAGCAGAGGTAGTCTTGGCACATCAGTTGGCAGCTCCCAAGAGCTAACCCGTCACAGAAACTCCCGAAGTGTGGAAGTGAAGCTTGTCACCCGTGCCATGGCAATTCCTTCGGCTGAGCCAATCAGCAAATAGAAAAAAGCACAGCTGTGGAGACAGCCTATATTCACTGTCTGGGCCTAGTGGGGGCCTAAGAATTTACAAAGATAAAGGACCCTCAGCACAAGCCTCCGAAGAGAGACCTCCTCTGGGAAGAGACAATGGCCTCTACCTAGAAAGAAAGAGGAGAGGGTACAAGAGCTCCCTTTCACTCAGGAGGCGGCTGACAGCATTTCTGTCAGTAACAGGAGATCACAGCCAGGCCTGAAGTAAAAATCTGGAAGGACTGTGGGGTGAGTATTGCTCTACCAGACAGAAAAGTATCTCATTCAATGCATCTAGGCTGTAGTCAACGTGTTATAATTTTATTGGCCATGAAACCATTTCTTTCCAACCCTTCTCCTTGCTACCCCTCAAATCTCTACATTCTGTGAAATCACTTGTCCTTGGTGTGACTATGAAGGGATCTAGAGCTGTGTGTTGATTGGGGCAGAGATGGGAGGAGGAGCTGGTCGAAGCACGGGTCACTTGCTGGAGGATTCTCTCCACCTTGAACTCTTTAACCCACAAGTTGAGGACTTCAATAGGTCAAACATAGGTCAGGGGTTTGTTACAGGAGTGGGTGGGTCAGATTCTGTGACCTACGTTGTGCAGGAGGTCAGACTAGACGATCATAATGGTCCCTTCTGACCTTAAAGTCTATGAGTCTATGAGCCTATATGCACAATAGCTCACCAAAGGTGGCATGTGAGCTCTCTACCAAGTGCCAGCAGCCCACTGGTCAACCTAACGGGGACAAGATGTTTGTATGGGCCATAGCTGAAGAGAGATGTAAAATATAGAATATGAGGCTCCAGAAGTGTTAAAGTGAAGCTTGTCACCTGCGCCATGGCAATCCCTTTGGCTGAGCCAATCAGCACATAGAACAATGCACAGCCATGGAAACAGGCTGTATTCACTGCCTGGGCCCAGTGGGGGCCTGAGAATTTACAAAGACCAAGGACTCTTAGCACAAGTCTCCGAAGAGAGACCTCCTCTGGGAAGAGACAATGGTCTGTACCTACAAAGAAAGAGGAGAGGGGACAAGAGTTCCCTTTCACCCAGGAGGCAGCTGACAGCATTTCTGTCAGGAACAGGAGATCACAGCCAAGCCTGGAGTAAAACCCGGGAAGGACTGTGGGGTGAGCGTTGCTCTACCAGACAGAAAAGTATCTTGTTCAATGAGTCTAGGCTCTAGTCAGCGTGGTATGATTTTATTGGCCATGGAACCATTTCTTTCCAACCCTTCTCCTTGCTACCCCTCGAATCGCTACACTCTGTGAAATCACTTGTCCTTGCTGTGACTATAGAATCATAGAATATCAGGGTTGGAAGGGACCTCAGGAGGTCATCTAGTCCAACCCCGTGCTCAAAGCAGCACCAATCATAACTAAATCATCCCAGTCAGGGCTTTGTCAAGCCTGACTTTAAAAACTCCTAAGGATGCAGATTCCAACACCTCCCTAGGTAACCCATTCCAGTGCTTCACCACCCTCCTAGTGAAAAAGATTTTCCTAATATCCAACCTAAACCTCCCCCACTGCAACTTGAGACCATGACTCCTTGTTCTGTCATCTGGTACCACTGAGAACAGTCTAGATCCAAATCTAGAAGGGATCTAGAGCTGTGTGTTGATTAGGGCAGAGATGGCAGGTGGAGCTGGTCACCTTGGGACCCTGTTCCTTTGGGAGCAGCAGATCTGTGACTGCTGTGAATGCCCAACGGGACAGGGACCGGGCACTGCAGAGGGACGCTCGGAGGGCTGAGGGGTCAAGTGTGTCTATTGCCGACCTCGACAGCGGTCACCCCCTCCCCAAGGCCTAGAGGGGCCTTTGGCTTGTGTGGCCTTTGGCCAAGGGAGTCAGGGAGTTGCCCCCCAGCGGGCACAGACACCTCAAGGTAGGGGCCCATGACACCGCATTGGGGCATTAGGGCCAGCACAACTGCAAACCGAGAGCGCCCCCTACTGACACCCCCCTACCTGCAGCACAGGCCCTTAGCACTATGCTGGGGCACTGGGGTCAGCGCTGACTCAGACAGGAGAGCTGGGTCTGTGCTGAAAGCTTCCCGGCTTGATCCCTGCACCACCCAGAGTGATGTGATGGATGCAAGTTACCTGAGCACAAAACACCGGCATCTTCTCCATGGGTACAGTCATTCTCTCCCCAAGGCCGAGCCCTGCAGTCAGAGAGGGCAACTTCTGTTCCTGTGCAGTTGACAGTATCCAGCCAGATACGGTCTAACCCTCGCCCAAATCGAGCCCCTCCTGGGGCTGATAACGCCGTCCCACAGCCCAGCTGCCTGCACACGACTCCAGCATCCTGTAAGTCCCAGTTGTCATCACACACGGTTCCCCACTGCTGGTTGTGAAGCACCTCGACCCTCCCAGCGCAGCGACTCCTGCTGTTCACCAGTCGGATCTGAGACACTTCTGAGATGCCAGCGCCTGCAAACACGCAAGGGAATAAACACTCAGGGAGGTTTCTGTGCATCTGATATCTCCTGTTGCTGGGGAACGAAGCGCCTCCCACCGACAGGTCTGACTGGTCTCTGCACACAGCAACTGCCAATCAAGGGCTCCCCACCACTAACCAGCGTAATCACTTGGGCAGTGTTGAAGTTTGTCCACTCCCCTCCCAGCCAGCTGTCACCTAGCTATGCTGTCACCTAATTAGGCAGAATGGACAGGAGTCTGACCTACTTCTCCCACTAGAGCACTTGACTTATGAGGAGAGGCTGAGGGAACTGGGATTGTTTAGTCTGCAGAAGAGAAGAATGAGGAGGGATTTGATAGCTGCTTTCAACTACCTGAAAAGGGGTTCCAAAGAGGATGGATCTAGACTGTTCTCAGTGGTACCAGATGACAGAACAAGGAGTAATGGTCTCAAGTTGCAGTGGGGGAGGTTTACGGTGGATATTAGGAAAATCTTTTTCACTAGGAGGGTGGTGAAGCACTGGAATGGGTTACCTAGGGAGGTGATGGAATCTCCTTCCTTAGAGGTTTTTAAAGTCAGGCTTGACAAAGCCTTGGCTGGGATGATTTAATTGGGAATTGGTCCTGCTTTGAGTAGGGGGTTGGACTAGATGACCTCCTGAGGTCCCTTCCAACCCTGATATTCTATGATTCTATGATTATTAAAAGATCACCCCCTGCACTGCTGGCAGGAACCTCCTGGGGAGCAGATTTACATGCTCACTTCTGGCGCTGGTATTCGCTCCAGTGCGATACTGTGCACTGCTGTGGGGCAGACACTGGCGTTAGCATCTTGGTGATTGGGAGCTGAACACAGTCACCCGTGTCATTGATGGTTGGCTTAGCCTGACATCAGCATTGAATTTACATGTGTTGGCTCCATAGCTCCCTGAAAACCTCACCCAGAGTCCATCCCCCTTAGAACTGCCTGGAGCGCAGGGATGCCTGGCAGGAACCTGCTGTGCACCAGGCTGACAATGGTTCCGACCAGGGCAGAGGCAATGCACACTTCCTACAAGCAGATCGGCCCCCTCCTGAAGCAAACACCTGCCCCTGCGGTTCCTGCTGACTTGCCACAACTGACCTGGCAACATTGTTTTATGGCAGCCATTGCTGCACTCATGTCTAGTGCTCCCAGCCCAGTACCAGTCTCAGATGAATGATGACAGAGCTGGGCTGACAGCTGTGTCCTCACTCAGGGGCAGCAACTCTGGGATACAGAGACTGCCATGTTGATGGATTTTCAGAAGCCCTAACATGTATCTGCCCCTTTACAAATTGGGACGCAGATCCTGGGCTAGGCTTAATGGGCCACTGACTGGACTGGCTGGAGGAATTGCTGCAATGCACAAATTTGGCTTAGCTTGATCTTCTCAGTGTGCCTCTGGGGCAGCAGTACAGACAGTCACATGTGGTGGAGCAGAGCCCTGTTAGAAAACTTGACCTTGAGAATGCACAGTCAGATGGCGGAACAAGCTGGAGCAAGGATGGGCAAACTACGGCCCACGGGCTGGAACCGGCCCGTCAGGGCTTTGGATCCAGCCCATGGGATTGCCATCCCCATAGCGCCGGGGGCCCTGCGCCTCTACTGGTAGTGGCCGGCACCACGTCCCTGCAGCCCCTGGGGGCGGGGTGGGGGACAGATGGCTCCACGCGCTGCCCTCGCCTGTAGGCACCGACCTCCCCGCAGCTCCCATTGTCCAGGAACAGGGAATCGCGGCCAATGGGAGCATCGGAGGAGGTACACGCAGCCGAGGTCAGCACGCGCAGCCCTCTGCCCTCCCCCAGGGGCCGCAGGGACTTGCTGCCAGTCACTTCCGGGAGCAGCGCGACATGGCGCGGAGTCAGGGCAAGCAGGGAGCCTGCCGTGGCTCTGGTGCGCACCGCTGACATCCCAGAGTCACTACAGATAAGTGGCCCCCAGCCGGAGCCAGCACCCTCAACCCCCATCTCACCCTGCCTGCACCCCAACCCCTGCCACACCTCGCACCCTCCTGCACCCAACCCCCTTCTCTGAGCCCCCTGCCGCACCTCGCAGCCCTAATGCACCGCAACCCCCTGCCCCCAGCCCCCTGCTGCATCCCACAGCCCTCCTGCACCCCATCCTCCTGCCCTAAGCCCTGCCACACCCCGCACCCCTCCTGCACCACGACCCACTGCTCTGAGCCCCCTGCCAGACCCGCACTCCTCCTGCACCCCAACCCCCTACCCTCAGCCCCCTGCCACACCCCGCAGCCCTCCTGCACCCCAGCACCCTCGCCCAAGCCCCCTCCGCACCCGCACACCTCCTGCACCCCAACTCCCTGCGCTAAGCCCCTCGTATGCCCCACACCCCTCCTGCACCCGAAACACTGCTCTGAGCCCCCTGCCAGACCCGCACTCCTCCTGCACCCCAACTCCCTGCGCTAAGCCCCTCGTATGCCCCACACCCCTCCTGCACCCGAAACACTGCTCTGAGCCCCCTGCCAGACCCGCACTCCTCCTGCACCCCAACTCCCTGCGCTAAGC